AAAAAAAAAAAAAAAAAAAAAATTTAAGTAAAAAAAGAGAAAATTTGACAAGCATTTAGAACAAAAGATTTCAGTTTTAACCCTGTAATTTTCTTACTGTTTACACAGGTACAATTTCCAAAATATAAATCTGTGTAAAATTTTATGAAGAAAAAAATACAACTTTTTTTCTTTTTGCTTTTTTTTCAATTTTTTTCGTACTCGATAGCCTAGTGAACAAAAATATACTACCATAACAAAAAAAGTATCTGTTAACTGCTGCTAGTCGGAGATGGCAAAAACTATAATTGGTAAAGTTTGTTAAAGATCAAAAGTTGTTTATTTGATTAATCAAAATTATTTTTTTGATTTTTTATCTTTTAAAGTCTCTAATCTAACGTATTACTGACCTTAGATACAGTAACTATTGTGGTGCTTGTAACCAATATCTTCAGAAACTATTATTTTTTTTTTTTACAAGTGGGATACTGAGGTTATGAATGGTGAGTAGAATTCAACTACAACTTTTTCTGCATTTTTTATTTACACCAGCATGTCACCGTTTTTAATACTGTTTCTGCTGCTGCTGCTGTTGTTGTTGTTGTTGTTGTTGTTTTTGCTGTTCAATGAAAATGTTCCGCTGCCAGTTGTATGATTAAATTACAGCTGATAGATGGCAGTTTTTTATGCTATAAAAAAACGATAAGTGTATATAGCGGAGGGTAACTGATAACGATAAACAAAAGACAGAAGAAAAGAAAAAAGAAAAAAAAAGAAAAAAAAAAGGAAAGTTGAGAAGAAGGAAATCAAGAAGACCGAAAAGTGGAAGGAATAGAAGATGGGTAAAAAAAACAAAAGAGTAGGAAGAAAAGGGAAACAATATGTGCAGCTGTGGAAATCGATTGTAAGAAAAAAATGTTGCAAATTAAATGTGCAGCAAGTTTTCAGCAATAATTATCAGTGTTTCAATGCTACTTTTCTCATATTTTTGACCAACAAAAAACTGCAAACTATTTTTAGAAAAAACAAAAAAAAAAAAATGAAGCTTTTGTACATTTTGCACTTTTTACTAACATTCTCAGTAGTAAATTGAAAAAAAAAAATATTCCTCATTTGAAAAAAAAGATGAAAACCTATTGATTTTTTTTTTGTAATGTACCAATGCAATTTGCCTAATTTGGTTAAGAATTACATTGTTTTTAATAAGACATACATATCTGCAGCATTCCTATATGGTGCCATTGATCAACAAAACAGACAAAACGATAGACAAAAGATGAGGTAACAAAAAAAAAAAAAAAAAAAAAAAAAAAAAAAA